AAGTCTGAATAGGATTGGACCAAGGAAGAAGATGAGATTGCTCTTGGAAACTCCAAAGCCTTGAATGTCCAATTAAATGGAGTTGAGAAAAACATGTTTAGGTTAATTAACACATACATTGTAGCCAAGGATGCTTGAGAAATTCTCAAGACAACTCATGAAGGTACATCTAAGGTAAAGATGTCTAGACTTCAGTTGCTCACTACCAAATTTAAAAATTTAAAGATGATGGAGGATGAGAGTATCCACGCCTTTCACATGAATGTTCTTGAAATAGCTAATGCCTTTAATGCTCTAGGAGAGAAAATATCAGAAGAAAAGTTGGTTAGGAAGATTCTCAGGTTTCTTCCCAAGAGGTTTGATATGAAGGTAACAGTCATGGAAGAAGCCCAAAGTATCAGCAGCACGAGGGTCGATGAACTTGTGGGGTCACTTCAAACTTTTGAATTGACCATTAATGACAAAATTGAAATGAAGAATAAAAGCATAGCTTTTGTTTCCAACACAAGAGATGGAGTGGAGGTAAGACCTATGCAAGTTGAAAGTCTTAGAGGTAAGACGTATGCCTATGTAATGGTTGATGATTTCTCAAGATTCACCTGGGTGCACTTTATCAAAGAAAAATCAGATGTGTTTGATGTTTTTGAGGAATTATGTCAAAGGCTTCAAAGAGAAAAGGAGAGCAAAATTGTAAGGATTAGGAGTGATCATGGAAAAGAGTTTGAGAATAGCAAGTTTGCTGAATTCTGCTCCTTAGAAGGTATTAGCCATGAATTTTCTTCTCCCACCACTTCTCGGCGAAACGAAGTGGTTGAACGAAAACATAGAACTCTTCAAGAGTCTATTAGAGTCATGCTTCATGCTAAACATCTGCCTTATCATTTTTGGGCTGAAGCAATGAATACTGCATGATTTATTTGTAACAGGGTTACCTTGAGAACTGGTACCTCAACAACTCTTTATGAATTATGGAAGGGAAGAAAGCCTACTGTCAAGTACTCTGTTTTTGGGAGCAAGTGTTATATTCTGGCTGATCGTGATCAAATGAGGAAGATGAATTCCAAAAGTGATGAAGGGATATTCTTAGGCTACTCCGCAAACAGCAGAGCCTATAGTGTGTTCAACACTAGAACCAAGGTAATGATGGAGTCTATTAATATTGTGATAGATGATTAACTATAGAGAAGCAGACAGATGTCAAAGAAGATGTTGAAACATCACCACAGGTGACTGCCACTGCAGATAATTGTGCTGATAATAACAACAACAATGAACCTGTTGTTGTGGAGGATGATGGAAATCAGACAAATAAAAGGCCCTCTATCAGAATTCAGAAGGATCATTCCAAGGAACTCATAATAGGAAATCTTAATGAAGGGATTATTACTAGGTTAAGGGAGGTGGTATCCAATGCTTGTTTTGTCTCTAAAATTGAACAAAAAAAATGTGATAGAGGCTATAACTGATGAATTTTAGATTATGTCGTGCAAGAAGAATTGCAGCAATTCAATAGGAATAAAGTTTGAGATTTGGTTCCTAGACCTAAGAGAACAAATATCATTGGTACAAAGTGGGTTTGTAAGAATAAATCTGATGAAAATGGGGTGGTTAGCAGAAACAAGGCCAGACTTGTGGCTCAAGGGTACACTCAAATTGAGGGTATTGATTTTGATGCGACCTTTCCTCCAGTTGCTCGTCTTGAATCCATAAGACTATTACTAAGAGTGGCATGTTTGCTGAGATTCAAGCTGTTTCAGATGGATGTGAAAAGTGCCTTCTTGAATATGTTCTTACAAAAAGAGGTGTATGTTGAACAAGCAAAAGAGTTTGTTGATCCCACTTTTTCAAATCATGTGTACAAACTGAAGAAAGCTCTTTATGGTCTAAAGCAAGCCTTTAGGGTTTGGTATGAAAGGCTGACAGAATTTCTGGTCAGAAATGACTACAGAAAAGGAGGTATAGACAAGACCTTGTTTGTTAAAGAAATGGATGACAAGTTCATGATTGCTCAGATATATGTGGATGATATTGTCTTTGGTGGGATGTCAGACCAGATGGTCCAACATTTCGTCAAACAGATATAATCTGAATTTGAGATGAGTCTTGTGGGTGAATTAACATACTTTCTTGGGCTGCAAGTCAAACAAATGAAAGACTCTATATTCATATCTCAAAGCAAGTATGCAAAAAATATAGTGAAAAAGTTTGGGATGGAGAATGTAAGTCACAAGAGAACACCCGCTCCTACTCACTTGAAGCTCTCTAAAGATGAAAAGGGTGTTAATGTGGATTAAAGTCTCTACAGAAGCATGATAGGTAGCTTGTTATACCTTACAACCGGCAGACCTGACATTACATTTGCAGTAGGTGTGCGCGCGCAAGATATGAAGCTGAACCTAAGATGAGTCACATTAATTAAGTGAAGAGAATATTGAAGTATGTCAATGGCACCTGTGATTATGGCATGTTATGCTCTCCTGGATTTGATTCCATGCTAGTGGGATATTGTGATGGAGATTGGGTAGGTAGGTGCTGATGATAGGAAGAGCACATTAGGAGGCTGTTTCTTTTTGGGGAACAATATTATATCTTGGTTTAGTAAGCAAAATTGTGTTTCTCTGTCAACTGCTGAGGCCGAGTACATAGCAGCAGGAAGCACCTTTTCTCATCTACTTTGGATGAAAAAAATTCTGAAGGAGTACAATGTCAAGCAGGATGTCGTGACATTATACTGTGACAACTAGAGTGCTATCTACATCTCCAAAAATCCTGTTCAACATAGCAAGACATAACATATTGGCATTCGTCATCATTTTATCAAGGAGCTTGTTGAAGGCAAAGTACATTCTAGAACATGTAGCCACTGAGAAGCAACTGGCTGATATCTTTACTAAGGCTTTGGATGCAAATCAGTTTGAAAAGTTAAGGGGCGAACTAAGAATTTGCATTTTTGAAAAATTATAGCAATTAGTCTTGATTGTGGAAGATACTAGGCATAGGAGAAAATTGGTGTCAAATTTATGCCTAAAAAGGGGTAGTAGTGATGGTAGTGTGGAACATGAGAATCATGTTGATTGTTACTTTTCTATGTTTTCTTTTGTAAGTTCTATGGTTTTTGGTTTGACAACAATTTTGTTAAAACAAGTTCACAACAAGATGTTGAGACATATGTCTTGACAAGTCAGTCAGACAACATGTTTAGCATGATGTTGGGACATGTGGCAGGACATGTTTTACTAGAAGATTAGGGCTGAGACGATTTGGTATTTAAAGTGTGAGATTTGATTGTAGTTTAATTCACACAGTGTCGCAATCCAAGGAGGGATATTTTAGGAACTTCTGTCTTGACAGATTTGCATGTTTTTCATAAAAAGGATCTTGGAGACTTTTTAGGAAACTTTCAATTCAGTTCCTATTTATGTGCAGAAGATATTGCAGAAGATTTGAAATTGTTATTTTGTGATTTGCGTTTTATTTTGTTGAAGAGTCAAATCCCATGCTAATCTGAAGGCTATTTAAAGAGGAGTTCTAAACCTAATGCAAAGGGAGAAATCATGTAGTGAAAGAAAGAGAATTAGGGTAGAGAGTTTGTTCTTTTTGTTATTTGTTCTTTGTGATCCTCTCTTATGTCTTTTAACATTTGAGTTGGACTGTATTTGTTTGTGCATTTGTGAGTCATTCATGTATTCCTTAGGTACGTGAATTGAACTGTGTTTTTGAGCTGTAATCACTCTTAAGCTTTTAGCAAAGAGTGGATTTTTGTGTCTTTGAAAGTGTGACTTCCTTTCTTCTTTATTGTTGAGTTTTGTCACTGTTCTGTGATTGGTGGGAGGAGTTCTTAGATAGAAGTTAGTACAGATAATGATTAGGTAAGAAGCTTGTAAACCTGTGGGTGTTTGCTGTGACTTTGAACTAATACTATTATAATGAATTTTCTTTCTGATTTAGATGCCTCCAGATGTAGGTGATGTTGCACTGAATTGGGTTAACAATTGACTTTGTTATTGTTTACATTCAAGTTTTTATTTTTCTGCATAAGTGTTGTTTGCTGTATTGATCCCAGTATTCTGACATCTGTCTTGACATCTAGTATCTGTGTGCCAGAATTTCAAGTTTGATGCATAATTTCATACTGTTTTTCTTATATGATAAAATCCAAGGTAATTTGTGATGGTATTATCGTTGATCAAAACTCTTGTATTGCTACTTCTTTTGATCTATGCTTTTCCTTCTTCACTTATCTGAGAGGGAATAATTTGTTGTACCAAAAAACCTGAAACTTCTTGTTGTTCCATTGTTTGAACTCTATAATAATGTTCAGGTAGTGAAAAAGTGAGATGGTAATTGAATGCACACACTAGACAAAGATGGTGATTAATACCTATGCAAGGCACATGTAAATGTTCCAACTCTGCAGAGTCCCACTTCGTTTTGGTAAATGTTAGTTTGAGTCTTTATATACCGAGTTTAGTTTCATTGCTATAAGTTTTGTGGGTTGTGGAGAGGTGTGAAGTAATGGGCCTTAGTTTTGTTAATATATTTAATTGTGTTAAAAAAAATTCTTAATAAATTAATAAAATTCTAAAAACACAATTTAAATTATTAATTTCTCTATAAAAAATACCAAATAATAAATTATCTTAGTCAATAATTAAAAAAATATTAATGAAAAAATTATTCTAGTAATTATTTAAATTAAAATTATTTTTCAATACTAAAATTAAATATTGTGAAATAAAATATTTATTAAATATGACGTTACAGCACATGTGCCATATCATTAATGAGACTGCCAAATAGAGGGACCGTGGAAATCCCAAAGGAAGTAAACTTTAGGGACCAAAAAACTGACTTTTAAAATGAGGGACTATATTTTAAAAAACTTCAAAATAGGGGGATCAAAAATGCATTTAAGCCTATTATTTATTTAGTTTTAGATTTGCTGACCTTGCTATATTGTGTTGATTTTAGAATGTTCTTTTCGAATTTTGAAATGGCAGATCTGTGAACTCCCTAATGAGAAAGAGGCTGTTTACGGGGCATTAGACAAATGGACGGCTTGGGAAACAGAGTTCCCGTTGATTGCAGCGGCTAAGGCTTTAAAACTATTAAGGAAAAGGGGTCAGTGGGTTCGTGTAATTCAAGTAAGGTTGCCACTATTTTGTAGAACTTGTATGCTTTCATTCACAATATTAAATCAATCAATATGACCATTGTTTAATCCTTCTAGAGAGTGCTATCAAGGTTGTGTTTATGTCATATAAATATGTATGTGTTGGACTTGGTCCAAATTTAACAAACATCTCAGAATTGATATATTAAACACACATACATATATGTGTGAAATTTATGAATGGTACTGTAAGTGCTAAGAACACTCTCTTTTCAATACTTTCTCTAACGCTCAGCTCTTTTTTTGGGCAAAACTAAAATCAATGTGGGACTTACACTTTGGAAATGGGTTCCACATAAAGTGGTGAGGTTTATACAAGTTTCACCAATTAAGAAAGGAGTGTTGCTAGCACTCCTCGTTCATGAATTTATGGTTAATTGTGAGGAATGCTTAGAAACTCATGACTTATCAACTTTGTACTTTCAGTTAGCCAAGTGGATGTTGAGCAAAGGACAAGGAGCAACAATGGGAACATATGACACCCTTCTTTTGGCATTTGATATGGACCAGAGAGTAGATGAGGCAGAATCTTTGTGGAATATGATTATACATGCCCACATGCGCTCTGTCTCAAAAAAACTGTTTTCTAGGATGATTTCATTGTATGATCATCATGATTTGCCAGATAAGATTGTAGAGGTATGTTTTTTTATAAGAAATTGTAGAGGCATCTTTGGAAGTACATTAATCTCGCTACAGATTTGGACTCCCTGCAGTTGGAAAAGCAGTCAAGCTAATCGAGACCGTTTGATCTAGAAATAACGGCTCCGTGTTTCAACTTGAATTTTAAATGCTATATAACAAGTTTATGGTGAGCTGTGAGCTGGTTGATCTTGATTTTATTGTCTGGATTCTTGACGGCAGCACATGCATGATCCCCCAATTGCATAGAACCTGGATCCATTCACAACACTTCACGTTAACGTGATTTTATTTACCAATTCTGAATTTGCTTTTCTATGCCTTGACATGTTGCTATCTTATCCGTAAGTTCAGGTGTTTGCTGACATGGAGGAGTTGCGGGTGAAACCTGATGAAGATACAGTCAGGAAAGTGACAAGTGCCTTAAGAAAGCTAGGCCAAGAAGAGAAAAGGAAATTGGTAATAAAACGATATGGGCTTAAATGGAAGTATATTCACTTTAATGGAGAACGGGTCAGAGTTACAACAAGTGTATGGGAAGAAGACTAACTATGAATGACAATGAAACTGGTAAATGTCAAGAAAGATACCACTAAGTCTTTATATATTTGAAGTCATTGTCTCGTTGCATTATACCATTGTTGTTGAATCAAATGGTTGAGTTCAAAGGGTTAATGATCTTTCATCAAAGTTGAATCGATTGGAACTAGGAAGTACCTGAGTTCATTTCTTGGTTAAAACTCAAATGTTCTACCATTATTGCATCATAGACTCACCAATTTGAGTTATTGTCATTTACTTGGTTCTGGTTCAACACCCAAAGTTAAGATTAGTCGTGTTGTATTTTTGTATCATATGTTAGGCATAGAGTGAGAATTTGATGAACTTCAAAAAATATATGTAACAACTTTGTCAAATAAGAAATTGATTAGTCTAATGATTGAGTCACACAATAATGTTTTAATGTTTTTCTTTTATTTATTTATTTATTTAATTTATTTTTTAATGTTTATTTTAATGTTTGAGAAGTGACTAGTTTACATTGCTTCAAATCAAAATCAAACCTACATTATTTAATACTATCTAATCTAGGCATATTTAAGGCCTCTTTGTTTTAGATTTAAAAAAAAAAGATTTATTTCTGTATTTTTAAAAATGATTTTTATAAAAATGTTTTTCAAAATATTAAAGTTTTTTTTTTAAATTTGTTTTTTCTTTATAAATTTAGAGATTAATTTTGATATTCTATAACACTAGTTGAAATAATTTTTTAAAAAGTTATTTTAAATGAAAAATTATTCGAAATAGCTTCACAATTAAGTTACTTTTGAAAATTTTGATATTAAAAAAAATTATGATAAAGTGAGAAAACATTTAAAATAATATTTTAAATATAATTATTTAAATTAAATTTTTATTTAAAGTTTTTATTAAAAAATTCTTTGTAATTTTTTTTTAAACGAAAATATTTAAAACTATCAACTTTTTTTAAGAAAAGATGATAGAAGATAATTTTGTATTGCTGATATAGTTGGGGTTTAAGTTGTTGAATTTTTCACCATTCTATCGCATTTTTTTTTTTTATATTTAAATACCAAAATACCATTATTTCCCCATAATTTTTCAAAATAACAACTTTTCAAACATCTGTTTTGATATCAAAGACCCGTCCAATGCCTATAAACTTTTAATTGGACATGCCAATTGAATTGGCAGACCTATGTTACTTTTACTTTTTTTTTCTTTTAATTATGTTATTTTTCTTCTGAAATTATTTTCTACCGAATTTCCTATCTTTCAAACATATAATTTTGTAAAATATATTTTTTAAAATAAAATCTACAAAGAATTGTGTGAGAAACAATTTATGGTAGTAAAATATGCAGGTAATTCTGTAGGAGTAAATTTTGTAAGAAAATCTACAGGAAAATAAAATATGATTAAAAGTAGAGATTTATGGAAAAAAGTGTGTTAGTTTAGTATTTAAAATAAAACAACTCTTATTATATGAAAGATCGATTAATGTAGCTACTACTAATACTAATGTGTATAGAAGATCTAACAACTTAAAAAGAAAGAATACACTAAAGAAAAAAGATGATGATTCAGTCTTGTTAACTTAATTTAGTTATGCATAAACATTTGATTACCTGTGGTTTTGAATCTGTATTTTGTAACCTTTTATTTTACACATTCGTATAATAATTTAAAAATACAAAAAATTACGGAAATAAATCAGAATTACACACATAGGATATCACATTTAAAAAAATCGTCATGAAGTATCAAATCACTTCATATCTCATTTATTAATAAAAATAAATAATTCGATTAAACAACAGATTAAATCAATGGTTTGACATTAAAGTCCCAATTACATCAACTCTCCACATAATACGTGGTTCAACAACATTAATAAAAATCAGATATGTAACAAACAACGAAGAACAAATAACATGAAAACATGACGAAATCCCCATCCTTCCCGTATTATGTATCAGAGCGACTTCTAAGACTCAATCAAATAGCAACAAAAGCTCCAAGCATTACTTAGGTACTTGATCAGTTGTACTTCCTAAGGAGTACAGGAAAAAAAAAAGGTGAGACAAGACTAGACACCCATCATGGGTTCTCACCTAGCTCATCTCTACATAACATGACATGAATGCATGACACAATATTATGCATAATGTAATAATTATTCAAGTATAACTCACGATCCTCAATGATCCCACGCGAGCCACATACTCACCGTAATTCCCTCCAGAATTACCACCACAACCCAAGAATGTCCACATACGACAATCTTGACTCACAAACATCCAACACGTCTAAACCAGATAATCTCATAAAATCCCATGTTTTATCCTATTTAATGTCATTACTAGTTTCCGCTATGTCCAATTATATCATGTTAGTCTTACGGATCAAGAGAAATTGCATCGCACACGAAATCAGGATAAAATCGCTCTCCCTTGCCCCAGGCCTGCGTACCCTACGTGTATGGCCTCCCAGCTGCCTATTCCATACGCATATTTCCTTGTGCCATACGCGTATGACCAAAGGTCTTTTCCTCTTTCAGAACCCCTTCAGTTCTCCCCATACGCATATTGCATCCTCAATACGCGTCCTGCCTGGCCTCTCATACGCGTACCTTATGCGTTTGGGCAGAGGGTCGTGCCGCTCTTGGGACAAGGCGCGTACCATAGCGTACGGCCTCTGGAGGTGTCCCTCATACGCGTATGGCCTCCCCCCATACGCGTATGACCAGTCTGCGTACCAAAAATTCCAGTTTTTCATCTACACGAATTCTCACACATTGGAATTCATTCCAACACCTAAATTAGATCCAAAACAATCTTCTATACTAGTTTATTATCCACAATTCTATTCTATCTAATTATTCTATCATTCAATCAAGATTATTCATCACTTAACTCTAATTTCGTCATCTCCTACACCTCATAATCTTACAGATCTGCAACATGGTAAAACACAACAACAATCCGTAAATTCCCACGAATTGTATCAATAATTCTAAAACAGACACAAATACATACCCGTTTCATCACAACTACACAAATTTCATAACATTCGCACAGTTATAGAATTAAGAAATACAAGGAAAGAATATGCACGAAAATCCTAAGAGAGAAAGGCGCCCTCACTATCCTCTCATGCTAAAATCACCCTTATTGATCCCATTCCCCCTTACCTGAAATTTGAACTTTGATCCTTCAAAAATTGTGGAATCACCTCTTGCCCTAGCTCTCCCTTGTTCTTTCTCTTGTTCTCTTTTCACGTTAAGAGGTTTTCTCTGTCGAACCTCCCACTAATCCCTCCTAATTGTTTTATCACTTAATTAATTCCTACTACTACTACTACTACTACTACTACTACTACTACTACTACTACTACTACTACTACTACTACTACTACTACTACTACTACTACTACTACTACTACTACTACTACTACTACTACTACTACTACTACTACTACTACTACTACTACTTAAAGTATTTTCATTCTCGGAAATGTACCTGATGAGAACAACTCCGGATACGACTCTCGCATCTTGCTTTCCAATTCTCAGGTAACACTTCCTCCAGCAGCTCCTCCCCAAGCTACCCTCACTAAAGAAATGTCTTTGCCTCTTGACTGCTTCATCTTGCGATCCTCGATCCTTATCGACATCGCCTCTACGGTAAGATTATCCTGAATCTGTAATTCATCCCTCTGAAGCACAAAGGATGGATCAACAATGTACTTTCGAAGACACGTCACATGAAACACATCATGCAAATTCGAAAGTTCGAGTGGTAGCGCCACTCTATAAGCAACAGTCCCCGCTCTCTGTAAAATCTGATTCAATCAAATGAACTTAGGATCCAACTTCTTGATTTTCAGCGCATAACCAACACCGGTCACAATATTGACCCTTAGAAACACATGGTCTCCTTCGCTGAATTCCAAGTTTTTTCTCCTATTATCATGATAGACTTTTTGCCTACTCTGGGATGCCTTCATCTTCTCTCTAATCATCTAAAATTATCTTCGTAGTCTGTTGCACAATTTCGGGTCCGAGGACCATACTCTCGCCCGACTCATACCAGCATAGAGGTGTCCTATACATCTTACCATACAACGCTTTAAAAGATGCCATTCCGATACTAGAATGGTAACTACTATTATAAGTGAATTCAATCAACGACAAATAATTATCCTAAGTACCTTTCTACTCGAATATACAAGCTATCAACAAGTCTTCCAGTGACTAAATAGTTCTCTCAGATTGCCCATCTGTCTGCAGATGATAAGCAGAACTCAACTTCAAACTAGAACCCAAAGCTTCCTGCAGGCTCTTCCAAAATCCGGAAGTAAACCTCGGGTCTCTGTTAGATACAATGCTCGATGCAACCCCGTGCAACTTCACTATTATCTTGTTATAAATCTCTGCTAACTTAGATGAAGGAAGTATGATGTTAATCGGTATAAATGTTCCAATTTTGTTAGTCTATCTACAATCACCCAAATAGCATCAAAGCCCCTCGCTGTATTTGGCAACCCAGTTACAAAATCCATTGTGATACTATCCCACTTCTACTATGGTATTTCCATTGGTTGCATCAAACCAGAAGGTTTCTGATGTTCCACTTTTGACTTCTGGAAAGTTAAACAAGCATACACAAACCGAGCTATGTCTTTCTTCATACCTGGCCACTAAAACAATTTCTTAAGATCTTGATACATTTTCGTAGCTCCTGGGTGAATACTGAAGCTACTCCCGTGGCTTTCCTCTAAGATCATTTTTCTCAATTCAGGATTATCCGACACACAAATTCTGCCTCTAAATCTCAACACACCAAAATCATCTACTTTAAAGTCACCTTATGTATCCGACCCTCCTGGGGTCATCAAATTCACCAGCTTCAAATCAAGTTTCTGACTCTCTCTGATCTCATTAAGGAATTCATTATTAACTTTCAGCATACCCAACATCACACTCCCAGGATTCAGTTCACAAACCATGCTCAACTCTTTAAACT